TTAAAAAAAATATATATATATATATATATAATATATATATACATATATATGTGTGTGTGTGTGCAAGGGATGTTTTGATTGGATCCCACAGGGAAACTCGAGTGTGAGTCACAACTCAGAGCCGCCCTGAACAAAAACAGGAGAGCTCAGGCCGCATTCTCCTCCTGTGCCTGTCTTAATGGGTCCAGGGCCATCCTGGGGAAGGTAATTCTCAGGTGCATCCAGCTCTCCGCACAGGTGCATCAAGGGGCTGCATGCAGCAAGGCTGGGCAAGGTGGCTCATGCCTGTAATCCCACCACTTTCGGAGGCCGAGGTGGGTGCATTAGTTGAGGTCAGGAGTTCGACACCATCCTGGCCAACATGGCAAAAGCCCCGTCTCTACTAAAAATAATACAAAAATTAGCCGGGAGTGGTGGTGCGTGCCTGTATTCCCAGCTACTGGGGAGGCTGAGGCAGGAGAATCGCTTGAACATGGGAGGCGGAGGTCGCAGTGAGCTGAGATTGTGCCACTGCACTCTGGCCTGGTCAACACAGAGAGATTAGAGTCTCTAAGTAAATAAAGACAGAAAAGAATCAAGGACTCTCCGGGCTGGGAGGAGACTCCAGGCCTCACGACGCTCCTTCAAGTGGCTGTGCAGCAGGGCAAGCTCAGCACCATCACTCCAGACTGCAGCTGGGCTGAATTTTGTGGGGGAGAAGGAAAGGGTCTTGCTGTTTCCCAGACCGAAGTGAAGTGGTACCATTTTTAGTAGAGATGGAGTCTTGCTATGTTGTCCAGGCTGGTCTCAACCTCCTGGCCTCTAGTGATCCCTCCACCTCAGACTCCCAAAGTGCTGGAATTACAGGTGTGAGCCACTACTAAGCTGGGATCCCAAAGCTGACCTTCTCAAGCATCCACCCTCGGGTCCTTGGCCCTCCCATAAGGGTCTCACTGAATAAGTCCATTACCCAGCCAAGGGCCTCAGGCTGGAAGTCTGGTCTGGGGTGAGCAGGATTGGGTAATGGGCCTGAATAGTAAGTTCCTTGCTGGAGAGCAACCAGGAACATTTTCCTTGAAATGAACCCCAACAGCCTGGGTGACACAGTGAGACCCCATCTCTAAAAACAAAATTAAAACTTAGCCAGACATGGCTGGGCGCAGGGGCTCACGCCTGTAATCCCAGGACTTTGGGAGGCCAAGACAGGCACATCACAAGGTCAGGAGTTCAAGACCAGCCTGGCCAACATAGTGAAACCCCATCTCTACTAAAAATTAAAAAAATTAGCCAGACGTGGTGGTGGTGCCTGTAATCTCAGCTACTCAGGAGGCTGAGGCAGGAGAATCACTTGAACCCGGGTGGCAGAGATTGCAGTGAGCAGAGATCGTGCCACTGCATTCTAGCCTGGGCAATGGTGCGAGACTCCATCTCAAAAAAAAAAAAAAAGTAGCCAGACATTGTGGCATGTACCTGTAGTCCCAGCTACTCAGGAGGCTAAGGTAGGAGAATTGCTTGAGCCCAGGAATTTGAGGCTGCAGTGATCAAACCACTGCACTCCAGCCTGGGCAACAGAGCAAGACCCTCTCTCAGAAAAAGAAAGAAAGAAATGATCCTTTGGCCAGGCACAGTGGCTCACACCTGTACTCCCTGCAGTTTGGGAGGCTGAGGTGGAAGGACTGCTTGAGACTGGGAGTTTGAGACCAGCCTGGGGAAGAGTGAGACCTTGTCCCTACAGGAAAAAAGAAAAAAAATTAAAAATTATCCAGGTGTGGTGGCTCATGCCTGTAATCCCAGTGCTTTGGGAGGCTGAGTTGGGAGGATCAGTTGAGCTCAGGAGTTTGAGAACAGCCCAAACAACATTAAAAAAAAAAA